GGGAGCTGCAGATTGGGTGGGATTTAACCCTTTCACAATCTCATTTGATTCATTTATATTTTAAAAATGTAGTTCATGGTCTCTTAAAGGTGAATGCATTGATAGCTTTACCAAACGTTTGCTCTCTGGTTGCCTCAAAAACAATAATGATTACACTTTTCTCCTATCTTGTGTTAAGACTCAAAGCTTAAAACTTGTATAAATATTATTTTACTTGTGTGAGTCAATTAGTAAAGTATCACAATGTCTTTGCTTTGTGTTCAGTGTGCTGTAATTCATGCTGTGCTTGACCTTCACAGACGCACGTTTGTTGATTGGTTGATTTGTCGATCCACAGAACCTTGATTCAACAACCAATATAAGCAGGTCAAATTATACCCACTCAAATGTGAATATTTCCTGGTTTCCTCGTGGCATTTTCAACTTGAATAAATCCCTTACTGTCTCTCTTATATAACATGTAGTGGAGGGCAAACAAATATTAAAAATGTATCCTTGACAATGATTCTTATGTAAGACACACACTTTCACATGTTCCCAGCAGCGATGTTTGGAGGACTGTAATTGGGTCCACAGCTCGCTCCGACGTCCATGAACTCAATGAAACTGTTACACAACTTGCACCACTGGCCTTCAAGTGATATCCTACGCCAAATCTCTATTTTAGGCAACACTCACTTGCTGTATGCTTGATGGGCGGTTAAATAGGACAGTTTCCTGCAGCTGTGAATATCTGGACGGTTACAACGGAACAAATCAAGTGCTAAAATGTACAAGGAGTGTATTTATTTAGCCGCACTTTGGTGAAACACCATACTCTGTGTTTACTTATATATAAAAAAAACCTGCTTGGAAATATACATGAAATAATGATGTCTTTGCATCTTCATACATAGTTTCTAGTCTAGTACTTTAAGGTTTAAATCACACATTTTACTGAACGCCTATGAAGAATTAGGAAAGATAAATTATACTGACAAGTTTCCTCAGTCAAGGCCAGCACTGTACTGTAAGTCCCAAACTGTTTTAAATTCACAACTAGCTAACAATGAGCTGTTGCTTTTTGTACCAAACATTTCTTCATTTATTTTTGGCTAACGAGCCGATTATTGAGAAACCGAAAGCAAAATGTTTTGCAGCAAACAATGACTGATGCCCAACAGAGAATACCAAATCAACCAGTACTGTTAAGAGAACAACTGTTCGGAGGACATTATTATTACGGACTAAACACTTTAACCCTGTGTATTCAGTAGAAATCTGTCAACACCACAGCTGTTTAGACCGGCACTAACTGGTCTGCAAACGTGATGCTGATGATCCTTTTATGTAAGAGGCAGAGAGAGAGAAAGACAGGAGGAAGATAGACTGAGAAATAAGAGATACTGAGAAAGAGAAAGCTGTGGGTGTCAGGTTGAAATGAGATGTCAACACGCCAGCAGCAATCTCCCCTGCATGCTGAATACTGTACACTTAACCAGAAAAAGCATCAAGCTAAACAATGCACAACTATTGCGCAACTAATTTCCTTTAACCCATGTCTTAAAGGGAACAAAAGTGTTCTCAATATGTTTTTTCCTGACTCTCCATCACCATTTGCCCCCCTTTGTTTCCACTCTCCTTTCTTCTCTCTTACTCCCTTTGATCCATCTGTTTTTTTTTTAAACGTTTTTGCATAACAGCGCTGCATTCACATTTAATTCACAGAGGTCCTGGGGGCGAACCAAAGCATGTTTTAGACACAACTGCCATGCCACTTATCCACCCACCTATCGCTGACTGCAGAGCCTGACTGTGCCATGGAAACACACACTTCCTTTTCCGCGGATGTATGGGGTGTTAATATATATGCTTATGGAGAAAGATTACCAACAACATATCAACAGTAAAGAATATTAGGGTCACCACTGCTAACCATGTGTCTGACGTTGGGACTGAACGCCTTTACAATGCAGAACAAGCACGATGGCAACAACATTGATAAACGTTGACACAAGCAGCGTCACATGCATGAATGCCCCGACATGACTTGACAATCAGTGTCTCCAAAATGAATCTTTTGGTTCACCAGCCACAGCCTGGTAAAGTAAAAATGACTTCTGTCAAAATTAATTGCACAATTTGAGCATTCATTTAAAACTTTTCCTCCCCTGCACACTCTCATACAACCAGTGGAGTTTGTAATTCATCATGGAGTCGAACCAAATCCAGAATTAAAAGCCAGCATTTGGACGCCTACCTACAAGAGCACACACACATATTAGGCATGATTTAAACCCTCTCTGTAACATTTGGAATATTTATATTTATCGGCGACTTTACTTTTATGCTACTTTATACTTCTACTGCACTACATGCTGCAGTTTTAACTTCATTACATTCTTTTAATAGCTTTAGTTACATTACAGATTCAGATCCAAAATAAACAACTTATACATTATTAATGATGTATTATTACATATTAAACTATCCGTCAGTATAAGTTAAAAACAAGTTTGCCTTCACTATCTGCAACATTAAAGTGTTGAATAAATGAATCAATAATTATAATCCAATAATATAATATATATATTTATAAGGAATTAAGTAATCTTAAGTAAAGTCTTACAGGACTTTATAATTTTACATTGTGTTATTATTTATTTTACCTAATTTGAACATCCGAGTACTTCTTCCACAACCACGTTTATATTTTCCGTGTTCCTTGGTACATTCGGGTACAATTTATCCTATTAAGTCTCTAAAACCATAAAAGGCATACTCTGAGGAAACTGAACCTTACCTTCAAACCTTTGTTCAGAGACTGGAGCAAAGACAATTGATGATTGACTCTGATGATATAAGTTATTGCTAAATTCAGTATCCAGTGATTTGTTAACCATCAAACAGGTAGTGGATACCCCTTGTTCATAGTGAAGCAAAGGGCCTCAACATAACCTATTAGCATCTGTTGTGAACCAGACCTTTTCTAGCTACTCGTATCAAACACATAGCCAGAACATACAGCAATGCATTACTGGTCATTCGCAGACACGGCAGTACATTAGTGAAACACTTACTCACTAGTCATCTGCTCCTGTGCAGAAAGCCAAACTCCACCTCAGCAGCGTTACAACTATCAATTGCTCCCCTAGGGTTTGCTTTGGCTGGGCTCTAAGACAAATGATCAGATCCTTTTATTGCTAGCAAGATAATAATTGTTTTTAAAATAAATGTTGCTGAGAATAAAGAAAACATGCCATGTTTCAGTTTTGTTGAATGACAAATCAAAAGAAACCCTGTATGAATACATAACAGAAGGTACTGGAGCAGAAGATAGCTTTAACGGTGAAAAGGTGAATAAATTACTACATAAGTTTAAGAAAACATGAATGAACCAAAAATGTAATAAAATGTAATAAAAGGTAATTTGTTTTGGTATAAAGAGAGAAAAGTAGCTAATGGTTCAATACAAGTAGCTAGCTGGTAAGCAGAGCTACTGCAAGCCAATCCATTTCAAGCAGCCATTTTTTCATAACGTTATTTGCACTATTTTTGTTAAAGTGCATGACTTTGCTTTACAGTAGTTCATACAAATCCAGGCATAGGCGTATAGAAGGAAAAAACAAACACATTGAGGTCAAGCATTTGTGTGCAGAAGATAAGTACAGTGCCAGTACAGCAGACAGCCTTTCTCCACAAAGCTTTAAGTGCAGTGCACCAGCTTCAAGTACAAAAATCCCCCAGTAACCATGACTTGTCTTGATAGATCGACAGCAAGGAAAAGTATAGCTAATAAAAGAAATTCTCTATCCATTCTACATGCAAACAAGGACAAGCGATTTACGCAGGAGGCAGCTGCTGACACTCCAGAATTATGAAATCATTGAATTTGTGACTACAAATTGAAACACGGGAACAAGCAAATTCAATTTAGGCCATCATTTAAACCACTTGCACTCGTAAATTGTGCCCTTAATATATAATCTTGTCTTTATATAGTCAATCCTATATAGGGAGAGCATTGCAAAACTGGCCCCGGTAATGGTACAAATCTCAACCTGTCGTACAATGGACAGCTTCCCCCCCCCCCATCTATGTATATACTCGCATTTTAGACTCTGTTACTAACTGTATATCTGTAGACTTGGTATGTCTTAAATGTCCGGTTAGGATGTATTAGAACGAAATCTAAAATGAAAATTGTAAATAAGCCATCTGTATGTAAAAAACCACCTGTATGTAAATTGTAAATAAGCCATCTGTATGTCTAATATGTCTTATATGTCTTAAATGATATGATGAATTGGAAATGGGGGACCCTGATGTAAACAAGACGAAAGTCTTTCTCTGGTCTGCATCCCCTTAACAATTGTATGTTTTGAGCTGTACTGTACTGTACCCAATATACAAGCTGTTAATAAACTTTTCAATCAATCAATCAATCAATCCCGTACTTTGTCAAATGATGATAGATTTTGCCTCTTTTAACTAGCCCAACAAACCGCAATTTGCAACATTCTAAAAAACAACACTTTGATCATTGTTAAAACAGTTATGTAATAGCGCTATTGCAGAGGAGGTATAGCTATAGTAAGAGAAATACAGGTGTAATTAATAATGTTAACAATGTCCTGGTATCCTGCATACTGCCGCTCTGGAGTGAATGGCTGACATGGAAGTGAGCCATGGATTTTCCCAGCGATGGCTTCTTTGAAAACCATCTAAGCATGTAGTCAGAAGAAAAACAGGAGAGAAGCTTTGCAAAGATTTTAAACACTACTGCCAATCCAAAGTCTAAGAGCAATTGCTTTGCTTTGATTTCATTGGCTCGCCATCAGAGTTTAAGGCGAATTTTCTAAAAGTTGGTTAGTGACTTAGTGGTTAGAGAACTGATATTTCTTCCTCCTCCAAAAACAGATTTGAACAGTATGCCTGGCAAGAAGTAAGATATGAATCTGTTGACAATGTTTACATGTTTTACTTCCAGTTTGTCGTGGAGACCAACGGACGCCACTCACCCGCTGAGCACGACTATGAAGTCCATGACGTTCCAGCCGTTCCTCAGGTACGATCCTTTATGGAAAACAAAACCAAGGGCCAGCAGCTTGATCCCCGCCTCGAAACAGAAGATCCCGATGAAGTACGGCTCTGTCTTCTCCTGTGAAAATAAGGCACAAGCGTCAGTGTCAGCAGAGAGTGTAGAAAGTTAGTAAAACCTCTATCCTGTTGAGTTTGACATGTTAATGAAGGCTTCACACATAAACAAGCATACTGTATACACTATACGTCAATTACAAACAGTCGAGGATGTGTGTGCAGCAGAAAATCAATGCGGTCAACTTTAATGTAAAATTATACCAATGATTCTATAAACCGATAATATTTTAAATCTGAATAGTAGTCACAAGTAACTCTAGCATTAATAACAATTGAATGGAGTAAAATGTTAAATATTTCCCCAAAGGAGATATTGGAGTAGTCTCAAATATCTCTAAACTGTACTTTAAGCAAAGGTAGGCGACTTTAGAGACGCGTATCACGGACCTGCCTTCATCTGATTACTGCAGTTTAAGGTATAAAACGTTATCTTCTCATAAACGTTTTGTCATTCTGGTTTTGTCTTGTGAACTTATTCATAATCCTATCAATGTGTGGAGGACGCGAGAAATGATTTGGTCCTCACCAGTCTCTTTGCCATGGGGGTCTTATCGTCTCCAGGGAGGTGCTGCTCCAGGGCCAGCACAACACAGTTAGCGGTGATGGTGGCCAGGATCATGTACTCAAATGGTGTAAGGGCCGCAAAGTTAAGGAAAGTACTTATTTCACAACAGAAAAACCAAAAAGAAAACACAAAAACACAAACAAATGCTGATGTTGTAGATCAGCACAAAACAGATCCCATTGTAACATAATACATTCACCATACTCTAAATCAAAGTTAACATTCGTGTTATTCTTTATCCACATATACAGCATTCTTTCTCAATTCCACAAATACTTCAGACTCCAAGTGAGTGGTTCAGTGGAAACAAACCTAGATGGATGGATGATTAAATGACAGATGAATTATGGCATGGTTCATTTTCTCTGGTATTCAAGGCAATCTGTTGGAGAGATTTCAGTATCCATGGAAACCTGCTTTTAAAAGTGATCTTCACAAAGAGGAAAAAAAAAAGAGGCATGTTCGGGAGGGAGAGAGCGAAGTGAAGTCACCTTGGCCTGACTGGATTAAGTACACGAAATACAGCAAACACTCCTCATAACTCCTTACACTGCACACAGCCGACGGCACATACACTGAAGTGTGCGTTATACAATTTCAGTGTATCACAAAGTATTGTCTCTTTGCTTCTCAAGAAGATCAGTCAAGCTTGAACTGCTTGACATTGAGTTGATACGTCATCGCAGGATATAATAAACCAGACAGTTTAAACAAAGAATGAATGTAAATTCTCTATATTAAAACATTCAATTACAGTTGGAGTTATATGTTTGCATGACTGTATACATGATGTAATGCTGAATCCTTTCATCAGAAAGTCATTCATAAACAAATTTGATAAGCATTAAATAATCATATTTTTCACGGAAAAGATCTTTGCTGCTTCTTTGTGCATTAGACCTCGGCAATTGGAGTCAGACTGTTAGTACAGGTACAAAACAAAAAATACTAAATTAAAGATGACACCTCTAGGATGTGGTAAACTGTGATGGGCATTTTGTGTGTTTTTGTGAGCTATTTTTCTTCTACATTGATAATTTCTTCACGAGACTCCAGATATGTTACTCAAGACTGTTTTTTTTTTTTTTTTTTAAATCTTTAAAGTATAGATTATTTCTAGAAGCACTTGCATAATTTCTATAATTTATCAGGAGTAATGTCTAACTTCTCACAGCTAAGACCTTGTGTGTGTGTGAGTGTGTATGCATGCACATACCCTATGGATACAGTACATGTGTGAACTACAGTACATGTGCCCCAACACTTGTATGTGCTTGTGACTTTCGGTCCCCCGGAGTTCCCATGATGCAGCTGCTCCTTGTTATTAATTTTCCTGCCTTCAGAGAAAGGGGGTCACTGACTCACAGAAGAGTGCTCGATGAGGGCCTCTGGGACTCGCACTGACTCACATTGACAGGTCCACATTGTTGCCATTGAAGGCAGGTGAAAATAGCTGAAGTGGGAAATACTTAATAAATCTCACCCACTCTACCTGACCTTAACCTGTTACCTGCATGCCAGAGATTATGCATGCTGTAGAACATTTAGGAAAAGGGATGTTTGATATAATGTTTCATTATTAAAGATTAAATACAAGCTGCTAAATTTGAAATTGACTTTGAAACTCTCCTCAGATGAGGAATCCATCACAGTCAATATCAAGTCACAGTTATTTAGCCTGAGTAATATATTTGATGGAGTGTGATGGATTGGGTAATTAATTAAGGCTTCACAACTTTGTGCGAATGTAAAAAAAGGAAAACAATGGCTGCCTGGGTGGTAGAAAACATACTTAAACATATGTTCAGCAGTTATATGAAAGGCTGAAACTAATGACTAATCTCAGAATCCATGCATCTGTTTTTACTTTCTAAATATATCTCTTTATCATTCATTTGAAATGTATACAACACCAATAATAGAAAAATATCCACCCTGGTTTCAAAGATTTAAAAAGGTGACCCCTTCAAAAATCTTATGTCCAACCAAAAGTAAAAAACTAAATTCAACTTAACAGCGATATGCAACAAAAATAAGCACATTGGGAAGGCGCAACCAGATCATATTAACTTGTTTCCTCTTAAAGAATCACTCAAATGGATTTATCAATTACCAAAAGACTTGCCTAATCATTTTGGGTCAAAGGAACACTGCTGTGGCCCTGGCACTTTACTCTCTGGTGCACTCTGGCCTACATTTGGCAACACAAGTCCCATCAACTCCTCAACCTGTGAGAAATATCATCCTCTAACAAGTCAGTGTGTTCGTGCAGGAAACATACATTCAAAAAAACACAGCAATAAATGCATCCGAGTCTCTTCTTTACTTGCTGTCTCATAAGTTGGACGCTCTGAGCGAAAACCTGGGTCTCAGCCAGTCAATACTCTGACATGTGCTGCTCTTACAGCCCACGATCCACCACAGTACTACCGGCCAGCTCTCTCCCACATACCTCTGCCTCTGTGATACCGACAGTCACATTAGCAAGCTGCCAGTGGCCAGCTAGTCTTGACCACTAGCCCCACTCCCACACAGCACACAGAGCCTGTGGTTAGGTAACAGTGAGACTGGCATGCTGCACTGAAGGGGGAGTGAGACAGGAGGAGCAGTGGGCAGATATGGCAACTGAGTGATGTTGTTGAACTGATTAATGCTTTAAGGGGAGACACTACAGGTGAATACGGTGTAAAATGTATTCAATAGAAATCAGCCCAACTGTTTCCTCGTTGAATACTTACATTTATACACGCATTCTTTTGTATTACAAAATCTGAGAAATAGTTAAATATTTGTAAATAAGACATTATCTTCAGGTGAAGAAGACTTGTTATGGAAGTCAAATAACCCAAACTCTCAAAATTGACCATTACATTTGCCAGTAGTGGGTCGCATGATGTCTAAGTATATAGACTACTGTTTAGGATATCACTTGACTAAAGTTAACCAAATTAACGTATGGGCTCTTGTGTGTACCCACCAGAGACTTCAGATGTAAATGTCTTAATGGCTGAATCTGGCACATTTACATGATGGACTCAAGTGCTCATGTGCATTGTACCTTGTTAAATACAAAAATACAAAAAATATATGTAATTGAACAAGGCAAGTATCACCAATGGATTATTTGTGTATGGCCTTAGTGATTGTGCCTGCACTGTCCCTTCACATTACATACAATCGGCTGCAGTTTCGGGAATGAATAAACTTCCCTGATAATCTTTGTGAGATCTGCAGAAGTTCATGGGAGATAAACTGTTGGCCGGTGCTGCAGCAGGAAACTGAGAAAACGCTGCCTGGTGGAGTTGAACTGACTCCTACTCATGGCCAGGTTCATATTCCAATGAGCACTAAGCAGAGATGTGCCTACATGCCACCCCCACAGCGAGGAGAGCTGCTTGTAATGATCACCACATGCTAACTTTCTGTCTTGTGCCAACACGGGAGCACATGAAGCCCACAGATGAATACAATTAGGGCAAAGTTACTAAGCACCATTTCAAGAGGAAGGTTAAATTCGGCTGTGCAAATGAATTAATCATCTGGTGATTCAACAAACAGCTGGAGATCATTATGCAGATAAGCAAACACTAAACAGAGAGGATGCAAGGCAGATAAGTGAAGGAGTCATGCAAAAACACAATGGCTGTAAATATGTACTTTTGTCACTTGTTAAACATTCAGGAGTTGTATTTTGATGCACAGGCTTCACATGCTGCCTGAAACTGTCCATGGTGCTGAACACACAACATGCACTTTCTCTAAAAGCAACTTTAAACGTGTTTTTTATGAAAGGATATGGCCATTCAATGAATCGCCTGGCGGTTCTCCTGATGAAGTTGTCCTCTGCGAATATGAAGAGCGACCTGTTGACGGTGAGGCAGTTCTGCCGGTGGGGCACGGGGTTGTACATAGCCATGGTCCGGGCCCGCTGCGCCTTGGCTTGCCTGATGGAGGCGGTGAGACTCTCGGCAGCCGCGTCCGCTCCTTCCCCGCCGAGCTCCGGGTCTCCATCCCCGGAGTCCACCGTGCTAGGAGCGCACTCGTCTCCAAATCGAGCCATTCTACAAAGAGACGAGGAGACCGCCGGCTTAACAGTGTTTCACTACAGGACGACTTCTAGGATAGAAAAATGTGAAGTGGAGCTAAAGGAGAAAAAAAGGATCCACCTTCAATCCGGTGATTTTCGAGCGCGAAGAATCCCCAAAAGTTGCAAATTCCTATCACTCCATATCCACAAGAAAATTATATTATATCATTCAGTTGGTTTATATTCTAATCATCCATTCACTTATCGAATCAGGTGCAACATCTCATCATCCCATCTGTTAAACAGCGCGTCACAATCTGCTCTGAACAACTTTTTAATACGCGCGACTCTGAACTCTGCAGGTAGCAATGGAAGAAAAAAAATCCACCGAGTTTACACCTTTCAGTTTTTTCCTATCAACATCCAATCTCGTTTTGACCTGACACAGCTGCTGATGCCTGATCAGAAACTACCCTGTGCTGTTTACATGATGCAGAGATCCGAGGGAAGTCTTCGAAAACTTTACGCATCTTCTTGTCCCGGTAAACTTGACAAAAGGAAGATTTCAGGAGAGAGGAAGCCCGTTTAACGCGTCTAAAACCTAATATTAAAAAAAACTTTAAATAAAGTTATTCATAATAAGTCGATAATGTAGCGGGAGAGTCCTTTGCATCGCTCGATCATCTTACAATCGTTTCACCTGCTGGAAGAAAAAAAAACACGCAGCCAGGAGCGCATAAGCACTGTCAGACCCCTCCCACAGTAATAATTCATGATGGCGATTTCAAAATCCATCTGAATGAAAGCTGCTGGAGAGGAGGGACATATATGTTGTTACCATAGCAATTACAGTTAGCTGAGGATGAACAAAAACAGTTTCCTAAAAAAAAAGACGCCTATATTCATGCTGTGTGGGTATGTGGTTCAAAATTATGTAAAGATGTTTGTGGGTGGCAAGAAAAGGGGTGTGAAAATAAATGTAATACTAAAAGGTGAAAGCCATGCACAGACTATGTTAAGTGTGTGGGTAGGGCAAGTGAGTAAAATAAATTACGTCAAAGGTGATTTAGAACAGGGGCTTGAATCATTTACCCCCATTTGGTATCGTCTGACAGCATTGTCATATTTTCATTAATGGAGACATGGAAACATTTAAAAACTAGGCCATTGTGCTAATATTGGAGAAAAAGCCAGGAGTAAAAATAGCGCATGAAATAGATCTTAGGGCTGCTCCCTTTTTGAGGGAGCACAGAAGAAAGCAGGGTCTCGTTCTCACTCAGTGCCACAAGTGAGACCTCATTAGGAAACTGGGCTCTCTCGCTCCATCTGCTGCTCTCCTCCCTCTCCCACTGTTTCCTGAAGATGACCACTTCAGCCCCCACACAGCATTATTCAATCGAAGCTGAAGCTGCTGTTTGTCACATCAAAAACATGCAATTAAAACCAACTACGCCATCAATCCATGACAAAGAGAAGCTATGTGCTTCTGATTGACAGACTCCATGTGCAGCAGCACAATGCAGGTATCAGTGTGCAGACGGGCAGCGTGCGAGGGCTCAGACGGCGGGGACTGTGGAAGAAAGCCAAGAGAGACTGACAAATTCATGCTTGGCAAACAAGTCGAGATCTGGGGGAGAAAAAATCGATTTAACGGGATCTATGAATAACTGAGCTCCCAAAACTCAGCCATGGCTCCGTTACCTCCTCTGTCTAATCTGCATGAGGCAGGCGGGCGTGTCACTTCATGCAGAGCAGGAGAGCAACAAAAGGCTACGCTGACCTACCAGTGCAGGAAGTAAAAATAGCAAGGATGACAATTAGCATGTAATATGTCTGTTTGCTTTAATGCAGAGCTCTAAAAGTACCTGCAACATATCTCACGCTCATCCCTACTTTCTATTAAAACATGTTACATAAGCATTCATTATAAAAATAAACAGAATTTGTTGCCCAACAAAGATATTTGTCCATCTTTGCAAACAGTTCCTCTCTGTCTGTGTGTGTGTGTGTGTGTGTGTGTGTGTATCTTCTCTCTCTTTGCTGTTGTTTCCATAGCGACATAGCTCTCTTGAATTCCTGCTCTGTTCTTTTCATTTCTGCCAACAAAAGCCATGTTGCACAATAGAGCAACCTCTTCCTACAGAAATCTGTTTCCCAGCATGCACACCAACACACACACACACAAACGCGCACACTGATACACTGATACACCCTCAGGGTCATTGGACAGACAAGATGCAGCACCGTCACCACACCGATGATCCATTGTTCTGTATAAACGTGACCACATGTAGCCAGCTTTAAAAGTGTTTGGCTTTTGTGTTCTGCTCTTTCTCACAGCCTACTCAAAGGCTTCTAAAAATAACTGTGTGAACAGATAAAAAGCAGCAGATCTCATATCAATTTGCCCGGGCTTGGCCAAACTTTGAATAGGTGGCACTAACTGTAGAAGAAAAGGGGCACAGCTAGCTTATTAAGGGGTACATTAGTGCCCTTACTACAGAGAAATGAAAGGCAGAGTTTTCGGCGTTATCTTTTTATACCCATTGTGGAAACGTCTTAGGAGATATTGTGCAGCAGAAGACAGAGGAAGTGAGGCTGCAGGTGACGTGCACGGTGAGTTAAAACGTTAATGGGCGTACTTTGTGCCAGAGCTCTGAAGAGCATTTATATAATTGCAGACAGGCTTTCATCCAGCATTGACTGGAGTGGTTTTAGCATTTTATTTTTCTCTCTGTTCCCTAGCAACAGACATCCTCTAGTACTGAGTTATGTCAGTTTGATTCGACCAATAACCGCCACTTATATGAATGCAGATTGGCGTGACACCTTTACAGTTTGAAACATATATGAACATTACGGTTATATTAGAGAAATCTGACCACTCTCTCACCAGCTCCAAATGTTGCATTAGTGCACTCTAATACGTTTCTGTTGTGAGGAATTACCTTTTCTAAAAAGTCATATTATTTAAAAATGTTACATCACCTATTGATTTTGATCTTTTCTGAATTTGTCCTGAAACTTCACAAAATATCATCATCAATATTTCAGTTGTGTAGTTGCAAAAACCAGCACTGTCCAAACTCATCTGCTGAGTGTAATATCATGTGCTGCTTCCCTGCTGCTCTTCTACTTTGATTCCCTAGCATCCCCTAATGGACAAATAACCACAATACATGCACAGCAGTTCTCTGAAATCAGCATTTACATTTGTTAAAGTTCCTTATTTAACATTTTGAACTTTTATGTGCTTAAGTTGCTCATTCAGTTGGCAAATAAGGGGTTGAAAATAAGAGATTGTAGACATCACAGGGATACAAGACGAACACATGACTGTGTTTGAGTGTCTGCACATGAGAAAAAGATGGAAAGACAAAGAGAGAATGACAGTGTATCAGTAAAGTGGATGTGGTGTGGGTGGTGGAGGGTCAAAAATATCTGAGGAAGGAGAAGGAGGGGGCTTGTTGGTGGGATGGGGGTTACAGTGATGGAGTACCACTCCGCATTCGAGTGGTGGGAAGCAGATAATCAGAGCGATGTGGCTTCAGAGAGCAAAAGTTCACAAGCAAGCACCCTCAGCCCGCCGTTAACAACACTATCCAGTATCTGATTACAGTAAACCATGGCCAACAATGATACACCGGCATTAAAAGAAACATCAAATCAATGGTTGAGAGCAGTGGGAACAGATTTAGTGATTCATTTGTGGAACTGTAACAATGCTGGAAACAAAAGAAACTGCATATTCTATTGGTATTATTATGGAGCAAGCAATTTGTAGCTCAGCAACAAAACAACAATGATAAGTATACTTAGTACAGTCCTTTATCACATCAGCAACGTTTTTAGGAGTCGGCCTCCATATTGTTAGTATCGCGTACACAGAAATAAGGATGCAAGTGCGTCATGTTATGACAATGGTTTCACGTTATTTGACTGATGGACAGTTAGTGGAAGTACCACCAAGAAATGCAGCAATGCACCAACAAAGACAAGGGAATAGAAGACTGGTAGTTACCCAACATTAAAAAAATGCAGGTTTCTAATTTTGTTTAAAAGGTTGGCTCTTCACATTTTTTACGAGAAGGCCAATACATTTGTTTATTTATATATTTTTCTGATATAGACAGAGGACGTTAATGAACATCCATATTCAAATACAAGATTTAAACATGAAGGAGTTAGCAAATATGCTCATTTAAAGCCAAAGTCCCGAGGCATGTACTATATCCAATCTATTTATGTATTGGGCCCAAAGGGAACATACTATACATTTTGGTGGGAAACCGTCATGAAAACAAAACAAAACTCAAGTTTGTTTACACCTGTACAGGTTATCAACTTTGACCACTAGGGGAATAAAAAGCTCAAAGTCTGACATACTTCTGTTGTCTTTTCTTAACAGTAGAACAAACTGGTTGTAAACTTCTCCATCCATCTATGATTTAGTATAGAAGAAACATGGGGCTATATAATCCTGAAGCTTCTCCACTAGTTGCTAGAATAATTAAGATTTTAGCCATTTCATGATAAGTGCTGGCTCAGGTTTTTGCCTTTCATGTTAAAACGGTTTACATTAAATATAATTATATATAATGGCCTTTGATGAGAGTCTCACGAGTGGATGGGCTGGAGAACCAATGAATGAGTTAAACCTTTTATCTCATATGGTGTAATTAGATTATTTGTCTTATTAAATGTAGTTTCAAAGTTAAACCTGCATTTATGTATTCATTTTCTAACACTTGGGAAGAGTAGATTGAAACACAACTTTGACATTTTATAACCTTAAAACGTTGATATGGAGAGCGTGTTAACAAACAGTAGCTTATTGGCACATTTTCTGACCACTTTAGGAATTTAAGTCACATATACAGTAGTCTCTCCTTAAGTATTTACATTTCTGAATGCTTGTTCTACATTGTTAAAGCTACAGTATGTTACACTTCTACAGATCCTGACAGATGGTTTGAGGTAGAGCATAAAAAAGAAAAAGTGTAATCAAAAACAATAACCAAATTGGGACAGTTAGAATAAATGGAGCCATGATTAATGTCATTATTTACACCTATGATGACAAGTGTCTGCTATGAAAAAGGATTAGTGACTAAACTATTGAAATAAAAGATCCCATCCCAAAAAAATAAGTTGTTTTGCTTCACATTAAGTATTCGTAATGACTGACTCTTAAAGACATTCAACAGGTTGAAACGTTAAGCTGCATTTTGGGTGAGTGTGTTCTTTACGCGGGCACTTTCATCCTCCTCCAGAGAGATTTATCATCTTTACACATGCAATTTAAGAGGACTCCTATGCCTCTGAATTTCTTTTATACTCACTCCCACTCCTTCCTGCGGGCCTGCGGCGTGCTCTGGATTTTGTGAGCCTGGTGAGCCATGATGATGTCTTTCTGCTCCACGAGTCCCCCACGACGCCTCTGCATGCAGTTGGGGCTCAGAGACCCTGAACCCTGATCGGACGAGCCGTCCTCCCGATCAGAAGACACATCGAAGCTGGCGGCTCGAGGAGGCAGGCCCAGGTACTCTGTGACGGCGTGGGGAACCTGCAGGGAGCTGGACCGCGCTCCCTGGGCCAGGCCGTGACGGGGGGTGGAGCTGGGCTTCCTCCAGGCCTCAGGCTCGGGAAGGGACAGGGAGGACTGGACGCGTATATTTCCTCCAGAGCTGCATGGAGAGTGGAGGTTGGGTGTGAGGGAGCGGGAGAGGGACTGGTCTGAGTTGGTGAGCATATCTACGGAGGACGGTAGTTGAAGGTTTCACCATAATGCTACAAATAAGGGGAGACAAAAGGGAAAAAGGCAGAGAAGATGAGTGAAAATTGGTGAAAACACATTCATGAAACATTCCCCATTCTGCCTGCTTCTCTCCGTTTGTCTATTTATAGCCACCATAGAAGCTTGGCTCTAGGGACCGCAATGTTGGTCAGTTGGTCAGTCCACCACTGTGATCCCGACTGAAATATCTCAACTACGATTGGATGGATAGCCATGAACTTTGTACAAATATTCATGGCTCATTGGAAAAATCCCAGAACCAGACATGGTCAGATAGCTAGAACAGGGTTTTTCTTTTGTATTGATACCTGTTGAAATGTATTAAAAAAAAAGGTGGTTATGGAGTTTGTGTGAGAATCGTATACACTGACAGATCCTGAAACAATAACTTAACAGTGCAGCATGAATTCTGAATGAATGCCAACATTGGATTGTATTTTTCTTAATGATCACTTCAACCAGTGATCTTCGAAGCCAGCAGTGCATGAGACTGGATGAACAAAAGCTTTGCACCAGCAGGAGGTCAGTAATTATACTGGGGAGTGGAATAGGAATCAGGGCTGAAGAAATGGCGTTAAGCTTGAATAATGCGGTTTTATGTTTTCAGATTAAAAAAAATTCTATTTCTAAAGAGGAGAGAACAAACAATGCACTTTCCTGCTTTATTCTAGTCTCATGTTCTGTTTCCAGCATATTGAAAACAACATTGCAGACCTGTAAAACTATTACTCTGTTGTTGCTGTCATTGTCCAGTTAAGCGTGTTTGTGTGACTGATACATTGAAATATGAGAGAGATGAGGTGGCAAGGCTGAAAAACAGCAAGTTTTAGACGAGCCAGTCAGAGACAGACGAAACAAGGCTGTTGCCACTGAGCCGAAGCTGAAAGGAAAATGACTGAGTGTGGGAGAGCTGAAGCAAAAGGCACAATGACTCACACATCAGCAGCAGGGCTCCTCAGACATGAACTGGACACATCTGAGCTGAGCTCTGCCCTCAAAATCAGCACAGCGCTCATCTGAAAGCCGGCAGAGGCTACAGGGTCAGCGTGTCCATTTACACAGGTGGATTGGTCCGCTTCTAATTTTAGCACAGCCTTTCAAGTTCAAAATATATGTGAGACGTTTTACTGTCGGTTAGTTTTGCAGCCAGAGCTGAGGGGAAATTAAATGTCAAGACACATGTACCAACAGACACACCCTTTAAAGCACTGGGTGCAAAAACTAAAGAAACAGCAGCGTAAATCCATGACATCTGATTAACATATAAACATGAAATGCAATTAATCATAAATGCAGCATTGATGAGGTTGCTTTATAAATGAGACCCTCACTGCAGTGTGCGTACAGACAATACATACTGCTGCAAGAGGTGTCCACCTTATCTGCACCATGCATTAAAGTTCAAACACTTGCTCTTTTATGTAAATTCATATTCAATTGATCTCCTTTAAATAATGCACACGTTGTATAGAGCCTAATGGCATAACAAGCTGCCTCCACTTCGTCTAATTGTGCAGGTCTGCAAATTGTATTTTAGGAATGCATTGAATATCCATTAACAGGTATACTGCTAATTAGGATGATGTGTCTTTTATCTTGTGGAGTTTAATATAGTGCAGCAAGAAACACGCAGCAGCAGTCATAACAAGTAAAGAATAGATGAATAAGATGCTATAAATGTTCACTGGAGGGTGAGCACTAATGCAGCGAGCGCGACAGGAAAAGAAAATGTCAATTAAGTGATGAAATGAATAATTAATTTGACAGCTTTACCTTGAGGTGACACTCGCTCCGTCATCGTCACAGAGCCCGGTTCAGGTGGACCCTACAAATTCAACCGCTCTCACTCAGTCCAAGTTTAGAGGTTTGAGGATGATTTCGAGAGGGTTTCTTGAGTGATGATTCCGGCTGTTTGGCTATAAATACCGCGGCGGGGCTGGCAGCCAGAGGAACGTGGCTCACATGAACGTAAACAGGCATGGGGACAGGCAAGAAGCGCGGACATAATCCCAGTCCTCCTCACTATAGAGCTCCGGTGAGTCACTTAATGTGGGTCATTGTAAATGGCTCAATCATCAAACTTCATTTAAAGAAGTCATTCAAATGTGAACACACTATTCCTCTAAGTTATCCACCTGTATGAAGATCATATTAGTTTTTTTGTATTATTTAAATGAAAAGAGGTAGGTGCAACAGGTCTGCTCATTATAATTGCTGGTCTGGTGTGCGCGCGATTTGCCTCGAGACATAGATATATTTACCACTAGATGGTGGACTAAAGCCGCATACCTGACACACAGCAGGTGCATTGAATGAGAATTGTACATTAAAGATATTAAATACAGGGTTATAACTTCACTTGCATCCGAAAATAACGCCTTTTTGCAGGTAGGCCTATGTATCTAAAAATACGTTTTTGCGTAACATACAGGTCGGCTAAGGCTGTTTGGTGACCGTGACTGAGTACCTTCAAATGATATACATTTTCAACACAATAAAATACATTTAAACCAGAAGAAGGCTATCAATTCAATAAAGTTACCTGGATTTCACTCTTGTTTAGTAGTTTCCTTCATAATTAAAGTAAACATTGTATAACTGTAATGTAAATGAACAAAAGAAGCAAAACTGCATTTGAAGTAGGATTGAAGATGAGGTTGAAAGTAAGTGGAAGTTTCAAGGTTTTCTTGTTAAACATATGTTAATATACTTCAACCAAACCAAACCAATACATATTTGACCAAAACAAACATGCATTCAGGTAACACTAATGATGTAAAAGGTGTAATGTGTGACGTCCATTTTACAACAAAAGTGTTAGAAATAATCAAATCATTATGCTTGACTATAATGTATAGGCTACGACAAGTAGCCTATATATCACTACAGTTTTAACAAATCCCCTCTTCCCAAGAAAACAGTCTTAAGTTTTATATCCGCTTATGTCTGACTTTACTGTCTTGTATCTTTGCAAAGTTAGTCCTAGAGAAGTGATTTCACAAACCCTCTCCCGAAGTGGAAGACGTTTTTGCATTTCCCTAAACTGATAGTTTACCCACTTCACAAAGCAGAAACAGCCAATCACATGTCAACAGGAAACAGAGCGCACCTGTCGTTAGTTAGAGTTAGCATTAGCATAGTCAAAGTTTTTACAGTAGAAATTATACAGTTTTTAAAATGTAAACATAACCGCCCCCTAGAGCTTCTTTACTTATCTACCAACCAAATTCCGTAATGTGCCAGCAACAAGCTAGCAAACAACATAAACAAATTAAAGATGCTAACTACACTTACCATTCTGGTATTCTCTAGTCGCTGATTGTGGGAAACAACAGTCTCTTCCTCAGAGTCAAACTAATATGCTTTAATCCTTCAGGTGTTTCCTCTTATATAGAAAATAAAGCAGACACTGATGTTCATTGTTTTTGTAATCTGGAGCTCACGCCGCCATGACGCGCACTCTCAATACTAGCGCGAACAGCGGTGGGCGGGGCGAACCCAGATCCTGAATATATGAATAGGTGCTACCAACCTCAGTTATATTCAGTCTATGTTATTAAACCCCAAATAAACAAAATATAAATCATAGCAATCAAGTGTGTCTCAGAGCTAGAAGAAAAAGTAAACTGAGGTATAAAATATATAAAATCTGCAGAACTGTCACCCAGATGGATGTTGCACTGTATTATATAGGCCAAAAGAGTAAAAAACGTACAATTGAACACGCGTAAAATGTGTGAACATGTATAGTACAGTTAGATTAAACACAATGTTTCATTATGTGTGCTTTTGAACTTTATCAATGGCTAACTTCCCTGACTGTTGGGAAAGTAATGTAAACAGATCCAACAACAACAAACATGCATACAATATATATATATATTAAATTGCATATATATATATATATGCAATTTAAAAAGGCTCAAGAAAGGTAAGGGTTTCAGTAGAAAACACGTTTTATGCTCTTCTCAGACACAAAAGGTGTGTCTGTGCTATATTATGCAACAAGGACAGAGAATATTTTTTCTTTGATTAAAACAGTGTAATAATGGTTCTTAATTAAAAGGTCAGTCATGTTCATTTTAACCAATTCTGTTATTCCCTAAACTGAGGAAGAGGTGTTAGCTTTGGGAATGAGAGCGCTGCAGAAACCATCTGCTACCACCACCACTGAAGGGTAAATGAAGACTTCAAGTGCTAACTGTTTCTCTATTCATTTTTTGCCCTGGGACAGCTTTCCAAATCGTTGTCTTAATCAAGGTTATAATATTCTTTAAATATCCAGAGTCCCCAATTTAATCTATTAAAATATCTCTATAAACGGTATCTCAGAAGTTGTTGTCAGACATGTCTCTGAGGGTTTTGTGATTCAAAAAACACTGACTATTTTCCAATGTACCGATGCAATATTGTGTGAATTATACATGGATTTATGTAATCTAGTTGAATCATCTCTGTGAGGAAATAATTGCCATCTTATCCCCGAGGCACGCGGCCAAGTGGATGCATGACGTGGAGACGCCAAGCAGAGAAATGGCTGCCATTGAAAGAACGGGGGAAAAAAAGATGTTAGAAATAAACCATCAGGTGTGTGTGCGTGTGTGTGCGTGTGCGAGTGTGTGGGAGGGCCATCATGCTGTTCGATGGTGAGACAGTTGGTAGTAAATGGTTGGCAAATCAAATCTGGTCTGGCATGAGAGGCCGGCCTGAGGGTAAACATCAGGTTCCCCTTATTTTGTTTGCTGGTTCACATTTTAAAGATTCCTGGAGGGTGTGATGTTGTGTTTTCTTTTAATGCTAAACTCACATTATTAATTATTTAACCTTTTGTAAATTGAGAGTATGGAGATGAGTCTTTATTAGGTAATAGGACATGCAAAGATGAACTGCTGGCTAAATAAATCTCTCTGACGTGAATTAATCTGCAGGCCAGCCCAAACACGTTTCTTCTAACTGTTAAAAGTGAGCTTTAGAAAAAAATGAAAGAATCCTATTCAATTATTTTAAACATCCTTATGAGTTGTGATCACTTGGCATTTGCTTTTGTTTTAGCTTCATTCTGTCAAAGTGTGAAGTTGAGTTATTTCACAGATGTTGAAGTTTCTTCTGTGTTCAGTGGCTCAGGCTTTTGGTTCATAACTCCCTTAAATTGAAGCAATTCTCACTTGAGTGGTGAACAGTTCAACCAAAGAATACTTTTTTTTTGTCTTTCAGTTTTTTCATTTCATCATATTTTTATGTCAGAAAACTATTCCAAGAAAAATACAAAAATGTATAGTAGAAATATGTGTTTTTTTCTCAAAATGAAACTTAGGAGAAATCCTAAAGTCTGTTATAGCAAAGTGTATTAACTATAACGCAGCGTTCACACGGCAGCGTGCGTTGAAGCTTGCCGGCGGGTGTGTCTGAAGCTCGACCAATAATCAATCACATGAATCTCCCGCCCCGGACACACAAGCACGCGGTTTGATTGGCTAGAGCTTGGCATATGATTTGATTGGCTGACACTTCCGTCGAAGCACGGCGGCGCGCGTTGAAGCTTCAACACAACTTCCCATTCACTTTGAATGGGGTGATGTCACGCTTTGCCGAACTGCATTGTGGTTCCGTCGCTGCGCTTTGCCTCCGTTGCTTGCTTCAAAAGTTGAGAAAAGTTCAACTTTTCAAGCTTCGACGGAAGCGTCAGCCAATCAAATCATATGCCAGTACAAGCTCTAGCCAATCAAACCGCGTGCTTGTGTGTCCAGGGCGGGAGATTCATGTGATTGGTTGTTGGTCGAGCTTCAGACACGCCCGCCGGCAAGCTTCAACGCACGCTGCCAGGAAAACTTCGATTTGAAAGATGCCAAATGATCTCAAGAAAACCTGGTCAAAACATCACAGAACTGCAAAATGTATTTTAATCATCAAGAGTCAATTTATTTTTCATATTCTAAAATGCAAAGGACATAACAGGATTTGAGAATAAATCCAATGTTGAGTGCACAAAAATGTTTCACTGCAAGCGATTATGTACAAGAATGAAATCAACAAATCTTTACAGAAGTCAACAGGTACTGACAACTTTTTGAACCTAATAACGTAGATTAGACTGGACTTAGATTCATTTTATCACTTTTTTTTCAAACACAGCACATTAATAGATTTACATTTAAGTGAACTTTGCTTGTTGAATCAAAAGTTCACTATTAGTGCATTAAGGACCATTGTATGCTTGTTTGTTTTTCATACATTAAAGATTAGAATCCCATCAAGGTAAATGCTATATGGCCTCATAAACAGGCCTGTTAGCATTAACTTGGAAAGATGAACAATGTCCTTCTCATCTGTTTACCCAAACATACCAACCATTAATACATTGGTTAGCAATTTAAAATTTGATTGTACCGTCATTTTATATTTAACATGGACATTAGTGCGTCATACAGTATGAATATTAGGAGTCAATGGTAACCCTTGAATTGTTTTGCTTGCAGCATGAGAAATATATGCCACAAACATTTGGCAAGATGTTTTTTCTGTCAAGATATACAGAAACACAACTTCAGTTTTGGTGTAAATTATCAACATAATTAGTCATAAATTAGGGCTGGGTGAAAGGACACATCCTCATAAAGATCGTTGTGTAAATGTGTTTTTTTACATTGTCCTGGTTGTGTTTGGATCAGGTAGAGTTACATTGTTTTTCTATGCATACCATGTCAATTAAATAATGACTGCAGAAAGGTTTCTGGACATTTCCCCATTCAAGATAAAGACAACAAAACAGTTTCATAATGATAAGTGCACAATACAGCCAGAGAAAAGTGATGTTTAACATGAGTGAAGAAGAATATTTATACACTTTGATCTTCATGGTTTTGGTAACTCACCCAGCCCTAGTTTAACTTAACCCCATGGGGATTTGAGACTGTTCACCCTTTCTCCCCAGTCCATGAAACAACACTGCATTTTGATGGACATATGCCTCTACTGAATGAAAGCTATAATTCAGTTTAACACTATGCGTGCTATAGAAGAGAAGCCAAAAACACTTACTATCAGTTTAACTCAAATCAAGTATGAAACTGACCATTTCTCAGAACACAGATGAGTTTAAATACATGAGTTACACAATTCTTCTTTTCTTTTTTTTTCTCAAACCTTCAGTAGGTAATAACGAAAGTGCTCTGGTCAAACCTGTAAAAAAATAATTTATACACACCCCCATCGTCTGACCGGACGTTTTGTCACAAAATTGTTGACGACTGTTGTTCTTATTGATGGTCCTTCACCCATTCACGCTCGTCTCCCCCGCCCCCCCCTCGGTTTGATTAATTGTCATTTGTTGAAGGGAAGGCAGGCGGGCAGAATGATGGTGGAGCAGGCGGGGCCCGCTAGGGGCTCGGCCACCTCTCCCTCCAACTCTGTCCACGTTGCTTTCTCTGGGCTGTAGCAGATGGTGGAAGACTTATACGCCCCCTGAGAAATAAAGACACAAATTAATATATTATATAAAATAATTGTATATATTTTTAGAAATGCATGTAGTCCAATAAAACGGGGACAACTTTAAAGATTAAGTCTGGAGATTTTCTATTGTTTTTAGAGCAATGCCTGTGTAGCCAAAGCTAGAAATGGCTCTTATGTCCACTCTTGTGAGATGTTGCTTTATTAACATACAGTAAACAAACACATTGTATTTGAATCTGTATCAGTTTCACATAAACAATCCATATCCTGGTAATATTAGGGCACCAGATGCAACATTTGATTTAATCCGCAGCTGAAAATAGTCTCCAACAAATCAACTTTCTTTCCTGTTTGAGTAAAACTAAAGTATTTATTCCTGACCTGTGCCACAGATATGGTCTCAACGTTTTGTGGCAATTTGATAGAACCTAAATTGTAGACTTTTGCCAGCGTTATCATTTAAACTCAAATAATGTAATCTGATGTGTAATAAAGTACCATGCTCCAGCTGTAGCCCCCCATGAGGAAGATGCTCTCATCCAGAACAGCACAGCCCGGGCCGCTGCGACCCTCCAGGATGGGCGTCTGCAGGATGTTCCACTGGTCGGCTTTCGGGTCGTAACACTCCACCAACATTACATCTAGATGGGAGAAACCTGTTTGAGAGGGAAAGGAAAATATCTTAAAATTATGAGAACACTTAAGCGTATTACATGCAGGCAATATTGTAGTTCCAGGTTACTGTAATTAAACTGCTTGTTTGACTTTAAAGGCCATAAAAACACATATTTGCAATCAGCCTCTCACTTTGGGTTACTTCATAAACATTTCCGGCCATGTTTAAACTCTTTTGGTTATTTCTGTGTGTGCTGTTTTTTCTCTGTGCTCCACTCTCTGGTTTTGAGTGGGTGGGAAAAGAGTGGCGTCATATATTTCTATGTCACAGTTTTGTTTGTAAATCAAATCTGATCACAC